ATGGTAAGAAATGAAACCTCTACCCTGCTGCCAGGTTTGTTTAAATTTGTCCAAAGTATTAGAAGTTATGCAAGGGGAGGAAAGGGAGCAATCCAAACAGCATAACAACCTAAAGCTCTGCAAACAAAAGCTGTCTGTGAAAACAAGAAAGTAGTGCAGTAGTGGGCTACTGCAACTAGAAATGCCCCTGCTTTCTGCACTCCTGTGTTCAAGTTTGAGCCTTATCAGGCCTCGCTTAACACTTGGACGTCTGTCCAAGGTGTCCAAGAGAAGGAAGAATTTATGTAATGCTGCAAACATACACAAGCCTTGGTTCAGAAAGCAGGGCCAACTACTGGAGAGCAGGTTCTGACCAGGCGATTTGTTATAATCTTCTTTTTGGGCTTTCTAGTTGGGCAGCTAGTTATGTCCACAAGAAACTTGCCTAAAATCGCAGAAGAATTTCTATTCCTGACTTTTTTATTCCTCCAACAGTTTTATTGCCGAGCTCTTACCTACCCAGCACTCTTACCTCCAAGCAGTTGACAAAAAGCAAGTAGAGTTCTTTTTTATCATTTTTCTCTAGGAGCTTGTTGTGCTCTACCTGGGACAGGTAGTGTTGCACATCATTTTTCACTTCATTGAAGCTACAGGAGAGAGAAACACCCCCTTACCACACCTGCAATACTGATGGCTACTAACATTCTAAACCATGATCGAGCTACTAGTTACGTCCATGTGGGGGTCACCTGGAGCCATCTGGAAGATGGAAAAGCAACTATGCCATCTTTTGCCAGATGCCATCTACCTTCACACTCTGAGCCAGGCTTTTAGCATCAACAATGCCAAACGAGCACTTCCAGGGCATAAGTCATCTGATCTATTTTAGGCATCTGATTTAGGAGATGATGACGCTTTCTGCACACTGACTGCAAAGGGAGGCTGGAGGAGCTAGTGTGAATGGAGAGGTCTGTGTAAGCATACAGAAGATCATTCTTGACTAAAAGTATGTGGATGAGGAGTATTGCTTTGCTGATCTAGACCATATAATTTAGTCGGCCACCTTTAGGTTACCCAAGCCACCCACGTTCAGCACAAGTTTGGGTTAAGAATAGCTAGGTAAACCTTGGCACAGACCAGTCAGATACTTCAACACAAGCTACATGCAAGCCAGCCAAGTTGCATAACTAATACAAAGGCACGGAATGAATTTCACCTGCAATGATTCAAATTCAATGACTAGCATGGGAGTGAGGAGAACAATCAGATTGGTTTGATGAGGTCATGAAAACCAAAGCTGAACCACCCCCTAGCGTAACATCCATCAATTGTCTGACTCTGCTCACCTGTACTTCAGGAGGAGCTTCAGCATTACTGAGCGGATGATGGGAGTTTCATCCACTTCATCATTAAATGGGGACAGAAATTTTGTGTAGATAGTGGGGTGATCTGTGGAGATCAGAAAAGGACAACGTTTGCAGGTGAGAGAAAGTGGCAAGAGAATCAGCTCCAGGAGGCTGAGCATCAGGATGTAGGGAGCTCACCTGAACCTTTCAGGCAGCTTCTGTGAACAAACAGCAGGTTAAGGAGCTCTCGGATCACCTCTGCCTCAGGGGGTTTGTTGTCCTTGAAGCACATGGTAGTGACCACATCTATGAAGAAATTATTGCACCTCTGCCGGAACAGCGCATTTCTTGCTATCGCATCTCTAGGGGAAGGGTAAAAAGCATTAGGACAATGTTCAAATACCGAACCACTTAAATAATGGATGAAGCAAAGCAGACACGGGCAAAAGTCACCAAGATGAGATACTTCTCCAGCTTTCCAAAAGGCTGGATTTGTGCAACACTTTGGTAGTATTGTCTGCAAAGGCTGTATCACAACGACAACTGAGATCACAAATGGCAATGTGATGCCAGTACATTTACCGAGAGTTTTTTGCTAAGCTGTCACAAAGCAATCCAAGGTGATGAGCAGCTTGCTTGTCTGACTGAGCCACTGACAGTGCCTTAGCTTTACAGGGTTTTGTAACTACAGTTTTCTTATAGGGGCCAAGGCAACTTCCTCCCTTCTTTTGAAGCAATACACAGAAAATAGACAGGACCTGTTCCGGTTCCAGAAAGAGCAGAGCAGAGTTCCCTCCACCCCTTCTGCTCGTGTTTTCAACTTCAGAGGTGCGAATCAGAATTTCCCCACACAACCAGCCCCACTGCAATGCTTCCACCTCGCACAGCATGGAGTACCTGAGTTCCACGGAGACATTTAAATGAACATCCTCCACGGCAACCCTGCAGTATGGACAATGCATCTGCGCGGGCACTAGCCATGTTCTGATGCACTTCTGACAGAACACATGGCAGCAAGGCAGGCAGACTGGATCCTTGGGCTCTCCTAGGCAGATCGCACACGACTTCAGATCGTTACTGTAATTCAGAAACAGTAATGAACACAATTGCTTCAGTGTTGTGTTACCAAACGCCTTTAATAAGGTGTTCATCTGCAACTAGACCAAGAAGAGCTGATGGAAGACCTTTTGGCTAACTGCTTAGCTTCAGGGTGTAGAATAAAATGGAAGTTACTGCTCTTCCTTGGCTTTTCATTACATTGTATGCAGCACTGCCTCACACCCAGAAATAGGCTGGCAACATAGGCAACATTCCTACAGGACCCTGCAACTTGTCTCAGTGTTATTACCTGTAGAGCCTGTTGCTGACTTCATCCTTACACTGGCACAGTACTTTCATCACTGCAACAAACGTTGGGTGAGTCTTCATGTCTGAATTGTGCTGAAAACACTGCAGAGGAAAAGGACAAAACTAAATGACTCGGCTCTAATACCTGAAACGAAAATTCACATGACCAGCAGAAGTAAACAGGGAAGAGCTTGAAATCACATCTTTGCTTACCTTGGCAAGAAGCAAAGTATATTTTTTCACTAAATTCTCAAGTTCTGGCATCAGAGTGTTGATGCCAAACAACACGTGTTCTACAAACAGAGACATGGAGAAAACCCGGTTCCAGCAGACTCTGTGGGAAGGAAAGCGCAATTTCAAAAAGTACAATTATGAGCTGAGAGCATGAATGGAAGCGCAGTATCGGGCCGCTCTAATGATCTCACTGCTTTTCACGCTCACCACTAAGCATCTGTGTACTTCTCATGCAACTCCTTGCTTTGCCCTTTTGGTTATCAGCCCTGCTTTTTGTCAAGGACAAAACACCTAATCCAGTGAGCTTATGGCATAGGAGCCTGTCCCGTAGACAGCACTGCAGCAGAACTAAGACCACTGCAAAGATCCTCTCACACTCTAACTTCTATATAATTGGGGGGAGAGGAAATCAGTTAACTACATTTTCTTCACTTGGGTTAAACTAAACAAGGTCTGTGAGAAACCATGCTAGCTCTCTGGGCTTGTCTTCCATGAGACAAGGCTCAGTCTTTGATGCAATGAAGTTCCCCATCTCTCACAGTCTTTATACACATGGAGTGAAGTGGGGAGACATTGCTGGTTAACAGGAATCTAATGAGAATTTTAAATAACCCCTTACCCCAGCTGGAATGCACTGGATGATACTGCCAGATATAGAGGGAGAACATACATGAGATGAGGAAATAAAAAAAATAAAAATCTGGTTCTTGATGCTTGGTGTGTAATTGAGCCTAGTAGGAACCTGGAAAAGATTGCCAAGTCTTTGCCTGAGAAAACCAGCATCAGAGCAGCTCTCAGCCTGTGCTAATACTCTTATTAACAGCAAGGCAAAAGATCAAGATTGTGAGCAGGTCTGTGGTACGTACTCGAGTTCTTTCAGCAGCTGATGGCACCGACTCCCGCTCCTTTGGAAATCCTTCTCTTTACAAAGAAATTCCACAGGCATCCGGAGATTCTTCACTTTCTGCAGCCAGATCTCTGGGTGGGCTGTCTGCACTTGATTCTCCAGCTCTTCAGCACATACCATTGCAGCTAACACATCTAAAATCTAGATATGGACACAGGGTGTAAGTATGACACACCAGTTGCATTTCAGAATTATTTATGAACCTTGGGCTCCCAATCTGGTTTGCTGTAGCATGTGTGCTACTGAATAATGTTCTACTTGATTATCTTAAGCTCTGGGGTTCTCATGCTCACGGCTTGGATCATTAGCACATCCTACTAACTGATGCAAAAGCAGGGCAAACTATTTTAAATCCTGCTAGTAACAGTGATAATGTAGCACATTATTCCTAATGCTGAGGATCTTGACTGAGCTTGTGCTTTCCACTTTACTGTTGCCGAAATCAAAAGAAGACTGAATGCTAGCTAATTCAGTGAAGATAGAGCTCTCCGCGAGGGCTGAGGATCACAAAATAGGCACAGGTGACTCTACCATCTCTGAATGCGGTATTCCGTATCCTTCCTGGTTAACAAGGTAGTCAATCACACTGGGGTGTACAGCCAGGATCCTAGAAAAGTTCTGCAGTCGGCTCTTGAACCGATTGTATCCAAGGTGCACCCAAGGCAAGGACGGCACTGTCTCCTCTCTTCTGGGAGCTGTTGCCTTCCATTCCTCTATGCAGGATAAGAACGCAATTCGCAGACACTGAAAGTTTAGAAAAAAGTTAGAAGAAAATTTAAAACGAACTCTTATAATTCATTTTGTACTGGAAATCCTGGCAAAATTCTCCTGAAGAAGAGAATCAGTACTTCACAAACATAGCCTTAAACGGTGTCGATTTTTATAGGTGCTCCTATGTAAGTGGTTTCCTGAGTAAGGTCTCAGCAATTTCAGCAAGCACTCAGTGTCAAATGCATCTGGTTTGTGGCTACCTTGCTGTCAGTCTGTCTCAGAGGGGGATTTTGGCTGAGAAGGCAAGATTGATACAGAAGGGCATGTTCACAGGCATCATGCTCTTCTCTCCACCCAAAGGGTTTCCAGGCTCTTGTTCCAGACACTGACCTTCAGCTCCTCTAGGGAAGACACACCAATGGTCAAGACAATAAAGTCCACGATATAGGACTGTAGGAGCATCTGCCTTTCTTCCTCAGTCAGAGCAGAGATAAATTTTCCCAGGGCAGTTTTCTGGAAGATATCCACAAACTTCTCAGCTTGGTCTGGAAAATGAGTGTGCAGAGAAAAGCTGAGTATTAGGAGGAGGCTGGGTTTGACACAGCTTCTGTCCTGAAGAGACTGACACCTAATTAATCACTGATGCATACAGCACTCCCCTCATTCAGAGCACAAGGCATTTGAGGCCAGGCCTTCTCAGCCCAGGCACCAGTGTCGTATTTCTGGAATCACATCTTGTCATTAACTCTTGGCATTTCCACAGCATTTTGAATACAAGGGCACAGAATACGTGAGAAAGACTAATGGTGAGAAGCACAAAGAAAAGCTAGTTGCACAAAGGTCTGCTGGATCATATGAGCACAGAGGGATTGAAGGTGACTCCAGGTCACAGAAAGGTAGAGGCATGGTAGCGACAAACCAGAGTTTACATGGCAGGTGGACGGAGATGCTCTGTGTCAGGAGCTCAAGCCAGGTTCTCACCTTCAGTGTTTTGGATGTATTGAGCTTCCAACCACATCTCATCCAAGTACTCCTTTATCCTCCAGCTGAAGGGCATCTCATTTCCAGCATCAGCAGACACCACCATGTTGTTCTGCACCAGAATTATCTCTGTCTGAGAGCTAGGAGATTAAAAGGTCATTAATGCACTGGGCTTTGCCTAGGAAACACATTCAGACAACAGAGGCAGAAAGCTGCAGAAAGCAAGAAATTAGCCCTAGAAGGGGATGAGGGAAGGGGAAAGAACTGAAGGACTCATTCATACAGCTGATCCTGCCAACCGCGTAGCATTAGGACTTAGTTCCCTGGCAAAAGGGCTGTAATGGCAGGACATGTGGGCTGGGTAAGAAGCGTGAGCATGCCAAGAGCTAGACAGCAAAGCCCAGGAGTACTGGGGATAACGTAGGAAGAACAGACTTCTGAAGTCACCAAGAACTGCCCTGCTGCCTTCGGCAGAGCCCAGGGGAGCCACCAAGAGTGCTAATTCCCCACGTGGAGCTAAAACCAGTGCTGGACTGGTCTCAGTGCTGCCAGCCCAGCCCTCCTGCTGCTCTCCTAGGGGCTCACCTGCTCTTACCCATGCTGTAAGGGACAGTCAGAAGTTTTGTGTCACTGAAGATGAACATCCACAGGTTTGTCACCCACTCAGCTGCCGGCCTGACCAACAGCTCCAGATTGCCATTTCTGTCGATGACAGCAATCAGGAGAGCCAGGAATGGAGTGATCACATCCTGGACTCGCTTCCACAAGGTGTGCCTTTGGGGGCAGAAAGAGACCAAGAAACCCAAAGGGAAGGTAAGCAATGATATGAGCAAATCAGGAGCTGGTTGTCCTGAAAAATTGCTGACATTTGCATGTGAGAAAGTCCTAACCTGCCTTTAAGGAGGAAAAATACCACCAGCAAAAACCCCTACACTTCTCTCACTTGCGGCTTGCCTGTGATCCCACTGTTCCACTTAAAGCACTTGTGCATTCGTGCATTCCTCTTCCAGTACAGCCCACTCAGCTGTAAGTCACCCTCCCGCAGGAGCCAGGAGAGGACAAAACTGCCCTCAGAGTTTCCAGCACAGACTGGAGACTGACACTGCAAATATTCAGATTACACAAAACTGCTGTCTCTGCTGCACAGCAGTCTTTTCTTGGAAGCCTGCAGGTTACAAGATATTGCTGGTGTTCTCACCTGAAGGTGCCTGCCTCCTGGAGAGCGCTGAGGTTGGAAGCCTCCCGAAGCACCCAGTTTTTTGGGTGAAGGGAATTTTCTTCTTGCTTCTTCAAAAGGCTGGAGAGACGAGCCTTTGTTATCTTCAGGAAAGAGGCTAGAAAACAACAGGGAACTTGGCATTGGATCAAAACCCAAATATAACACCAAACACAGTATTTTACAATTGTTTCAATAATCGGCCAAGGGGGAAGAAAAAGCCACCACAGCTAGCACAGCTAGAGAAAAAGCTATGACCTGAACTCCCAGAAAAGCCCTACAGCCATCAAAGGAGCAACAGACTGGAGCATGGACACACACACTCTTGGGAGACTGCCTGGGAGATCCACCTTGTCTACACCACAGCAAGGACCACTGACCTTTGGGTCCCCAGTGAATTAAATGTTTTGGTGGTCCCCTAGATGCCCAGGGACACTACCTGCTGCAGCCAGGAAGCACATACCTTTAAAGTCATCCTCTTTGGACAACAGGCCAAGGAGAATCTTAATTCGCTTTCTGCTTCGACTAAGATCTTCGTTTTGGTCCCGCAGCATCCCCACAGCACTTTGTACGCAGGTCCTCAGGAGTACAGTGGTGTCTAGGATTTCACCCTTCCCAGGAACAGTGTGAAAACAAGTTTATTACTCCTCAGTTTTACACCCTTGCCCCCAATACATCCCTCTTAAAACGATTATAGTGCTCTCTGGGAAGGGCCTGTTCCTCTGGCATCCCATCTTCCAATTTTGCTCTCATCTCAGGCTGCAAATCTAAGTTCTTCTTTTGCTGTCACGTACATGATGCGACTTCTGTGGCCCCTTCCAACTGGCATGCAACACAGCATTTGTGTTAAGATAAAACTCCTATAGGGGGAAAATTCAGTAGTTCAGGGGGGAAAAGTGGAAATTATAAACGTGACTGAGGAAAATATGCCCTCTCTGGGAGATGCTTAGGCACTAGAGGGGCAAAAGCCACATGCAGTCACCCTCATACTGGGCGTCCTCCAGTTTATGCTGTCAGGGGAACACGAGCCAGTTTTAACACGGTGGCAGCACAGCAAAGTCCGCAGCCAGCTCCAGCACGGCTTCAAAGGCATACCTTGGTCAGAAAGCACAAACCGCTGGAGTGGCAGGCTCAGAATCACAGTTCTCAGCTTTCAGCTTGTAAAACTGATTTTTAAAAATTAGGAGTATGAAATGACTAAGGAATTAGAGGGTCCTTCGAATGGTTGACTTCTTCAATGGTGCTGATTTTGATTGATCTGTGGGGCGAGGAATTTGTGTCTGATCATTAACGTTCATGATGCAAATAATATTCCTGATGGATTTCAAGTGAATGGGGACGCAAAAGTTGTGTTGCACCTATGGATGACAGAGCAGAGCACCATATTGACAGCTAAACAGCAGACAAATGTATTCCGAACTGACCTCCTGCTGCTCTGCTTCTGGCACTGGTGTGTCAAGTGGCACCTCAATTTCCTCCTGTTGTTCTCCATTCACAGGCAGAGCTACAATTAAGGTGTAGAATTTTTATTAGAAAGAAGCAGTACACTTCTGCATCGGTCAGATAAGCGTTTATTTGGCAACTGCATCCCAGAGCAGAAAATCTGCCAGCAATCCATTATCACCTGCATGAGTAGCTGGGATCCACCTCTCTAAACACAGCTACAGCTGCTAGGGCTGTCAAGCTTCATGCAGCAAGAACCAGAAAAAATGTGGCACACAGAGCTAATGCACTAAGCTCTAACAGAACCCTGTAAGGCAGTGTGGAGGAAGGAGGAGGAAGTGCAAGAAAAAACTGAGGGGAAGGAAAAAGTCTTTTCTAAGCTTCCTACAGGTTTAGGTGAACAGCTCTATATTCATGAAGGTGAGATATTCTCTGGAGTTACTCCTTGTCAGTGGTCTCTGCCATGCAGCACCTGCTGCCTCCTGTGCTGAGACAGAGCACTCGGTGCAAATGCCACATTTTTGTCAAAAAAAACACCTACCAATTACCTTACTTGATGACCCAAAGTTGCAGTAACGAACTAAATACAAATACAAGCTGGCAGCCATGCAGTGACCCCCACAAAAAACAGATGCTGAGCAGGGAAAAAACCATTAGATATGTTGTACCAGGCATAAGTTCCACTAGCACCAAGTCTGGGACCGCATCTCCCCTTTTCCCCGCTGGCATATCAACAGCACTGGCTGGCACAGCCAGCAGGCAGCTCACCTTTGGTTTTACATGAATCCTCACTGAACAACTGGCTGATGGTGAGGTTCTGCAGGGCAGTCATATCTGAGATCATGTCCTTGGATCTGCGGAGATCATCTATATGCACCGACTGCCACAGTCCTAAAGACAGAGGACAAAAAAAGAAAAATTTCATGCTGGCATCATGCTCTTCTAAGAGCTTCCCAGGAATTATCTCCCAGTACCTGTAGGCTAGCAGTTCACATCGAGTTTGCTTACTCTCACTTCTTGATGTGGAAAGGGAAAGCAGCAATTCACTTTGAATGTGCACGCTACCCTGACTGCCAGGGCACGCACGCTGCCGGGGCTTTGAGGCTCTTAGAACCCACCACACACAGGAGGAACCTTGCTGCTGAAAGCAGAGCATGTAAGCACGTACTCAGGAGCCTCCTGGAGGACAATACACCAACGCAGGTAGCATCATGTTTGTTTGCTGCTCTCCAGCTGACTAGAAAAAGGGCTCCTCTGTCTATGGGCAAGGCAAGGTGCTCTCACAAAGCAGACTAGGACTCCAAGGTACTGACACCCACAGGGACTGCCCCGGGGGAAGGGAAGCAGCTCTGACAACACACAGGACATACCGATTCCAGTTTTCAGGCATTAGAAAGGAACGTGAAGAAGAGAAATGCTGCTCTGGTATGTTTGCCTGAAGCCAGCTGAAGAGTGAGGAGCAACCCACCTCCATGGAATCCCACGTAAGACGTTCCTCCTTCCACCCGGGAAAGCTTCAGAATAAAGTAAACAAAGACAGAGGCTTCTCCCAGGTCCAGCTTGTTGATCTCATTAACAACAGTGTATCTGCAACAAAGAGAAAACACTGCTGACGGATCAAAGACAGACAAAAGTTCATGGCCACAAGTCTTTCCTCTCTAAGAGGGCACGTTTCTTCCCCCATACAGACCTTCGCGGCAGGCTATGCCGAGCCTGCCACCTCTAGCTATGCCTCGAATGATAACCTTGATCCTCAGCTCTTCAGGACTTCTGCAGCCAGTGGCAAGAACTCAAACTTCAAAGGGGATTATTGGGTAATTTGACTCATCTAAGTTTATTTTGACTTGGGTTATGGATGATTATTTTAAATATAATTAGTGTTTCTAGATTAATTCCACTACAGAATAAACAAAGGCTTACACGTTCCTGGCTCTGAAATCCCCAAACCAGCACTAACAACCAAAGGGGGGTGAGGAGTCACCAAGCAGAACAGCTAGCTGGGAACCACTTCACACCTGACTTACCTGGCTGAGGCGATGAGCTGGGCATTTTGAGAGCCATCCTCAAAGTCTGTCTGAATAATAAGGACTTTAGTTCCTGACGTGGCATCAAGGAAATCTCTGAAGAGTAAAAGGGGATTTAAAAGAAGTCACTAAGGGTAAAACCAAAACATTAAAGACCGTAGAGGTAGTCACTCCGCGTTAGCTTTAGCTGCTGCAGGCAGAAGGAGAGATTAAAACACTCATCCTATAGGGATGGTATAACTTCAAAACCCCAGCTCTGTATGATGGAGCCAAATACAGTTTGCACCGAGTCAATCCGCTGTTCAGCACGGCAGGGCCTCTTGCCTCCCTTTTCCCTATGTGTTACTCCAAACGTTCTGCCCACGCATCTTCCACCCAGATGACAGCCCAGTCAGAGCAGGATAACGCAAAACCAGACTCACCGGATGCTCTTCAGGAATGAGTACTCTGTGTCAAACTGCTGCAGGGACAGGATTTGAGGCCTTTGTGCTTTACCCTGCACCTCTCTCTCCAGGCAAGCCATGTCAGCACTAGTGAGAAGCCTCGAGAAGGTGGTGACCTAGGGGTGCAAGACACAGGTTTGTTCTTTGCTCAGGAATGCGGTAGGAAGGCAGTAGAGACTTACTCGTCTACGCTCCCAGATGCTGCTAACTTGCTGCAGAGCTGGGCTGCAGCCCCAAAACCCCCATTTATTTGCCCTGCCAGTAGGCAAAGGGGCAACAGGGGCTGTTACACCAACCCAAGGGCCACTGCTGGGTAGCTGGACACAACGACTCTTGGTGCTGCCAGAGATGGGGCAGTGGGGAGCTGAGAAGGGGCAGCCGAGGCTTTGAGAAGCTCCTCGTAAATCCCTGGAGCGTGCCTTCCCTGCTCGGCTGCCCTCCCTCCAGCACGCTCAGGGAGCGGCAAGCCCAGCCCCAAGAGAAAGCCCCTTGTTTCCATGTGAGGCAGGAGAGGGAGAAAATCTCCAGCCAATCTGAGCTGAGGTTCTTTAGTTTTGGTACCAGGCAAAGTAAACCAGAGCTACCGCAATGAATGCCCACAAGATCTCTGGCTGTTTGTGGCTTAGCTGGGTTAAAATCTTTTGTATCTTTAAGACCAGAGGCAGACATAAAGAAATGAGGGTTCAAAGGCTCCCGACAATCTTTTTCTGCAGGCTGTAGCCTGTTTTGCTAGCTGTGTCCATGGAGACAGAACTACTGTCAAAGTAAGGAGAGGCATCAGCTGCTCGAACTCACTTAAAACCCCCGCTTGTCAGGGAGCATCAAATACTGCTTCACGTACAGCGGAGGTATGAGATTCTTCAGGATGCAACACCCACCTCTGCACACCTGGCCACCAAGCGGCCAGGCTGTGATCCAGTTTACCTGGGTGTAACCACTAACCCAGCCCAAGCAGTATAAAGCAATAACCTCAGCGCAGGTTGGGAGGGTTTTGAGAGGGCACTGCAAGATACTCACCTCTGTAAAGACCGGTTGGTACCCGGACTCAGCGCGGACGTGAGCTCGGAGGAAGTCCGCAAACGACATGTGCTGCTGCTGCTTGAAGTACGTGTTGGCCAGAGAATCCGCCATAAACAAACCCACCGAGTTGCAGAGGCGGATCACAGCGTCTGGGGTGGCACAGTTCAACAGCGCCAGCTGGGCTTCTTTCTTCACGCAGGACATGAGTTCACCAGGAGGACACACTGGTTTCAGCCTTTCCGTTGTCTGCAGGACCACTGAGGCACAGGTGTTGGAGTGGTAGCCCACAAACACATCAGAAGGGCTGTATTTCTGCTTGCTTATGAAGTGTTCTTCTGTGTTGGCCACAGTCAGCTCACGCACCCACTTCTTCAGCTCTTTCACAGTTTCTCTTTGCCCCTTGTCCAGGACAGTACTGATATCCAGGTAGTGCTTTTCCAGCCTGTTGATCAGTGGGATGGGAAAGTGCTTATATACCACGTCTTTCTCCTCGATGACTATCAAACGGAACTTCGGGTGCACTCGGCACTTCACCCGGTGGGTGCCCAGTCCCAAATCAACATACTTCTGGTCAGCGAGGTACACGTAGTACTGATTGAGGGCATCATAGAGGCTTTCGTAAAGGTTTTGCAAGTTGAGGAGCACAACTATTTGGCCAGTTTCCATGCAGACCTTCACACGGTTGATGTTCCTGCATATCTGGGTATACTCTTGGTCCTTAGGGAAACTGGAGCCGAAGATAATTTCTGGCTGTTGCCGGGCAGTAAAAAAAGCTTGCTGGAGGATCTGCAGCGCTGCATAATTCTCAGTCAACACAAGCAGGTACCTGCAATCACCATCCTGACTGCTGCTGTAAATGTTTTGTTTTATCAGCTCAAGTCTACTGATATCACGAGCACGTATTTCTCCTTTCTCTGGTAACTGCGAGGTGAATATTTCCAAGGCATTGACATCATCTTTGCCACCAAAGTTACGAAGAACAACTTCAGCTATGTCTTGAGGTGTCGGCTCACTTTTGGAGTTCTTAGCTAAGGCAAAAAACATCTTTATGAGGCTGTAGTAGTCACGCAGACCAAAGAACTCCCTGTCTTGGGCCTTGCAGATATTTTCATATGCATCTGCAAAATGAGAAAAGTACTGTTCGACCTTCTGCAGAGCCCCGCGTGCTGAGCAACAAATCCCCTTTGCACTTCCTATGAGCTCTTCTTTGCTGGGGTCACCACGCGAGACAAAGATGCCTCGATTCATTTTAGCAGGATCCAAAGCCCAGTTGGAAATCCCGATGAAGCCAACCTTTTTGTGAGGAAGAGGGACATCATCTATGCAGCCATCTTCCAAAAGGGGATGCAAAGTCTTCAAGGGCATTTTGGGAGAATCTTCTGCCAGCCCAATCTCATCCAAAACCACCACTGAGACATACTCCTCCAAGTTCTTCCCTTCCTGGAATCGAGCGCAGTGCTTGAAAGTGCCTATGATTCCCTCTGGGGTGGAGAGAGGACTGCACTGGAAAGACACTAGATGTATCTGCTTCAGCTCCTTGAATAAATCCGAATGAGCTGCTTGGCCCTGCATAGCATCAGCCACAATCGTTTTCGCAAGGGATTTGGAGCTCCCAGGCTTCCCAACAAGAAAAAGAGGGATCTTCAACTCAATGCAGATGACCATCATAAAGACATTTTCCTTCAAGGCCAAGTTTCTTGCTATGGTATCTCGGAGGTGCACACCACTCAGGAATAAGTCCTGCATCAAGGAGATATCTTCCAAAATCTTCTTCTGGGTATCGTAAGGTTCTGGAAGGACCTGGCTCATAGCACTCCTGTATGCCTCCTTCTTTTCCAAGGATGCATGATAGCAGACCCCGACTGCCAGCACTAAGGACCAGATAACGTTGTTTCTCTCAACGGTGGTCTTTGGAGCTTTCTTCTCAGCAAGGTACTTCTCCAGTCCTCTCAGCAGTAGTTTACTGTGCTTGTGAAACCACTTGAAAACTTCCATGCAGCGTTCTACATCCCGCAGGCTGACAAAGCTACATTCATCGTCCCTCTGCCTCATGTATTGCTGGGAAGCAAAAAGCACTTCTGTAATTACCTCTGCTTCAGCCTGACTCATTGGGACGTGCTCAGTAACTCTCTGTACAATCTGTTGTATATACAGTTTTTCAGTTAAGTTGTTCAGCTGCCCAAAATCCCACACTAATGGGATCATGCTGGGTGGGAGTGCATGGACCCGGTACACAAGCTGTCTCAGTGGAATTGATCCAAGCTTATCCTTTGTCTCATCTGCTTTGACACGGTAGCCCAACCCAGCTAATTCCAAGCGTTGAATCATCTTTGGCGTGTGCTTCCGATAAGGGTTGCAGGCTGCTATGATCTGCAAGCCAGAGCCAGAGACCAAATGCTTCCCCTGTACTGTGTGGTCACACAGAACTTCCTTGATGCTGCTTACAGCCTCTGTTGTGTTGGCTTCATCGAAAAAGAGGACTGTGTCCAACCCGTGCTGCTGCTTATTGGTTTTAGCAAGGGCTTCTGCTTCTTTGACCCTGGCATAAATCATCTCTGCAGTAGTGCCCCCATGAACTTTTACAAGCTTCATGTTCTCTACCTCTATGTAGCTTCTGCGTAACTTGCACAGGAACTTTATAAGTCGGGTTTTCCCACAGCCTGTTTCTCCCATGATGACAACGGGGATGTTACACCTGAATCGCATCTCAATAGCCAAGATTTTCAGCACATTGTCTGTTGTGAGCTCATATGTCTCATCAGGGTCTATTACCCAGGGGATTCCCAAAACCATGCAAAGCTTCTCTAGCTTCTCATGCCGAGGCAACTGATCAAAGGGAACATTGAAGGGAACTCTCTGGAGTAACAAGCCATTGTACAACTGTGAAGTCATGACATTTTTCTTGATAACATTGCCATTCAAAGGGTTAATGGCATCAACACCACCAGTGCCATTCGGCTGAAAGTGGAAACCAATGAATGTCATGGACACATGGTCTTCATTGAAAAACAGATATGGATGAGGCTCCGATTCCCACTTTTTCCGAATGCGGAAAGGAAGAAGATCTTCTTCTGCAACGTTCTCCAAGTTGGAGGACTGCCTTCCTGAACTTTGATCAGAAATGTTTAGGGAGGGTGTTGCAAAATCCCTTGCCATTAAAATCATGAAGTTAACAACAAAGTTTTTGAAACCTTGCAAAGTGTCCTGGACAAAGTCAGGGTTGCAGAAGACAGAAGCTTCACAGTCTCTCAACTGAACATTGAGAAACCATGTGAAGTTTCGGAGTTCTGACCAGGAGGGATCTGTGATCCCGCAGTGCAGGAGGAACTGCTGCAGGCATTCTGCCGGGTTCCCTTCCACAGAGTGCGCTTTGTAACAGAACGTGTCCAGATTGCACCCCTGGTCAAACCTTTTCAGATACTGGAAAGGTCTCTGGAAGGCTTCACTGCAAAATTCCTCCTCGTCCATGCCTGGATCCGAAACATCCCCAGACTGGTTCCCAAGGGTTTCCATTTCTAGTACTTCCTTAGGAGACTTGCATGTTACTTTAGGGAACACATCAAAGAAATTATACTTCTGTCTCGCTGACATCTGGAGTAAAGGAAAAGAAAATACATCATCACAAAGCTGTAGCCCTAATCTTCTTCAGTTTATTTAATCTTCTCACAGTCCTTACAGTATTCTTGCCTAAGACCACAGACCTAACTGATAACAGCAGCTAGTCTATACAACTGTGATACTTTTTCCCCTGTGCATCGCTTTTTCCCCGCTTAAAAGGCATCGCAACAATTAATCCTATTTAATCCTATTTCCTCCTACAGTCTCCTTCCCGTAACATTAGTCCTTCGTTACCTCCAGCCCCTTCTCAGTGCTACCTCAAAGAAAAAGAAAACTAAACCCGAGAAACTGTTATTCAGCCCTGTCATTTCTACACTCTGTTCTTATGGCTGCATATGAACATTTGAGTACTGTCAAACATGCAAAGTAACACAAGGAAGATTAGATTTTATATTTTTATGTTTCCTGTAAAAGTTACAGTGGGGCCAGTGAGGCTTGGACTAGCAGGCCCTCAGAAATTACCAACCCGAGGAAACCATGGCAGGTATCATTTATGGTCTTGTTTTAATATCACTTTGCACAAGACCGGGGACACCACTTTGTAATGGAGATGCACAGCTCATCTGTTACAAGCAGGGAATTCCTATGCTATGTTTACAGTTAGGCTCACAACTCAGGTGCACCTACATATAAACATACATGCAAACTGACTGAGAAATTCAAAGAAATAAAGTGTTGCTGTGTACATACGTGTCTCGCTGCTTTCCTTGGCAGTGGTGACACCTCAAGGATTTCAATGATATACAAATGGCACTTCTGCCGTAGCCACATATTTCCATTATCATCTGTCAGATACTGCAGAACCAACAGCTTGAACAGAAACTCTGGAATTCCACTTTGTACCTATCACAAGAAAAGAGGCAAATGCATTTCCTCTCTATTTATGCACCGTAACTTCACAGAATCATAGAAGAGTTGAGGGTGGAAAGGATCTCTGGAGAGCACCTTGTCCAATGCCCCTGCCCAAAGCAGGCTCAGTGAGAGCAGGTTTCCCAAGACGATGTCCAATCAGGTTTTTAATATCTCCAAGGTTGGAGACTCTACAGCTTCACCAGGGAACCCGTCCCAGAGTTCAACCACCGTGATGGCAAAGAGTTTTTTGTGTTACTTACGTACACAACAATTAGAAAGCATGTCCTAGTGAAATGGCCCACTAAGAAACAAAAGTTTTAAAGAAACAATTTGCAAGGATCCACAGAGAACTTCTAGGACAAGGTACCTGTGGGAGAAATGTACTTACTGAAGATGTGATATCAAAATGGAATATCATGGGCTTTGTCTGGTGTTTTCTCTTCAGAAAAGGCAGAAGAGATTTTAGCACTTTATCTTCATCCACTTCTGGTTCAATTAGTCTGATGGTTTTCAGAAGTTTTGTATAGTCAGGCTGCTCTTCTTGCAGTCTCTCATGTAGCCTCTTCACATACAGAGACTTCCCTGTTATCATAAAAAAAATACCAAAAGAATTAAAGCCATCAGTATCGAATACATCATATTAAGGTCATAATAGAAAGAAGGAAGTCAAACGCTTAAGTACCCTGTCCTCAGAGATCTCTGAACCTTCCTAAAAGGCATTCCAGAAGCCTAAATCTGGTTAGAGCAGCTGCAGCCTGGAATGAAAGCCATTGCTGTTGGTGGCTACCAAAGGCTGTCGTTATCCACATGGCTTGTTCTGCTTAGACGACCTGAGAAGGGCTTTGCTTTTTATTAGGACTTGAATCTATTCTACTATGCGGTTGTTTCTAAAGTCAAAACATGGTGTGTGGGGGGGAAATGGTTGTTGGCAAAGATAAAAGCACCCTCAAGTTTCCCATCTTATCCTGTAGAAACTAGTTTTGCCAGCGTTTGGGCAATGCCAATGGTTTGGGCTTGTTGTTTGCAGTTGGCTGCAGTCTGCATCCCTGCTGTTCCCCAGATCAACACAGGATGAGCTGTCCTTACAGCTTTCACCTCACTCCACTGACTGTAGTCTGAATTGTTCTTTTGACTAGATGCTGATGACTTGGGCAGAAAACCTGGCAAAGTGAACCCCGCTCTTATTTTTTAAACACTCGGCACACCCCGCTGCGCATGTGACATCTTACCCACACCAGCTCTTTTGGAGGACACAATCCCAACACACATATTGTCCTTGAACACAGAAGCAGCCGAGCTCGAAGGCTGAGCGACTCTGTAGTGGTGCTGAAGGTACTGCTGGATTTCAGCCAGTGGCCTCTGGGGTATCATGTGCACTTTGTACTGGCTGAAGGCAGAAGGGATGTAGCTGTGCTCCCTCTCGCAGCTGCACAGAATGATGAGGCGATAGGTGCTGTTGCAGCGCTGCAGGTGCTGGAATAGCTCCTCTGCTCTGCAGCTGACATCGTAACTCAGCTCATCTGCATACAGCATGGTGTAAATTTTCTCTCCTCCGCTGCAGGGAATGAGGCACCGCCTGAGGAAGAGCCCCACTTGCTCAGCAGTGGTCTGAGGAGTGCACAGGAGAACTTCATCAAAAGTGGGAAGGGGCTGTTCGGGGCTGTTCATGTAAATAGCCAGAGCAGATGTGAGCACCTCGGAGCGAGGGCATGTGATGAGATTGGGCTGACCAACATACAGAAGATCCTGTGGGAATTCTCGTGTGACATGTTCTCTCTCCCAGCTGGCCAGATTCTTCAGTCGCTCACCGAGCGTATCAATATCCAGGCAGTTCGGAAGGAAGGAGCCCATGTTGCTCATGTAGCACGCCCAGATGTACTCCAGCCGCACAATCAGGTCCTTCTCCCCATCCAGCATCCCTTGGAAGTCAGAAATAGCCTTCCTTGAGCTGGGAGGCACTTCACTCTTGGAGGCTCTAAGGACATCCTGCATGGTGCAGTTGTGTTTTAGGAACGAGAGCATCATCAGGGCGCCCTGGCTGGGCATCCCCTGCCCCAGTTCTGTGCACAAATAGACCAGCTGTTCAGCAGTGTAGTAGTTCAGGTAGAAATGCTGGAATCGTTTTTCATACATGAAGCTTTTCCAACTCTCCAGGAAACTCTCCATTGTCTTGCAGAGGCCTGGGAGCACAGCTCCGACATCTCCTTGCCCTTCTAGCGCTGGGATCAGTCTCAAAGAGAAGTCTATAAGAACACATGATTCTTTTTTGGGTGAACAATACACATGAGCAAGCCAGGACCGGAAGAGCAAGTTCCCAGCTGAATAAAGGTCTATAAAGGCCTGGGCAAGTCTTTGGACATTGGAAAAGATCTGCATGAGAATAAAGGAGAGAGAAAAAAACTAAGCTGATTTACCAAGACAAGTCCCAGCTATGAAATCACAAGAAAGACTTTCAATCAAAACAAAGTCTTTGGTCCCAAGCCAAGTGTGTCAGGCCTTGTACACTAACAAAAGCCTGTGGCTTTTTAACAGCAGCATCCCCAGGAAGCCAGTAAGGAACCCCCCTTGCTTGCTACAAAAGCACAGCAACCCTCTCAGCCAGGAGCCATCCCCAGTGGAGCTAGAGGATGAAGGTACCAGTCCACTGTCCAGTCTCCAGCTGAGTTCCACCTCAACAGGGAACCAAAGAGGTAGGAACATCTATCTGCCTGCTACCATTCATCCCCAGCAACTCAGCTGCAAACCAGTCTTCAAAGCTGATCTTCAGGGCAAAATCCAACCCCAGCCTCAACACCAGTAACTCACTGGGTTTGAAATCTGACCTCAGAGAACTTCTCCACCTCCAAGCCTTGCTCGCCCTTTGCCGACATCAGCATCAGTTTGTTCTGCAGTTCACGGAGCTCTGCCAGAGAGTATTTCCGTGATGCTTCATTATCCCCAGAGCTCCCCGGGAGGGTGAAGCGCAGGACGTTGTCCAAAGAAACCTGCCAGAGAACAAGTCGTTAGTGCTGAAGTGCACTGAGGTTCCACTCCTGAGGCAGCGCTACGCCCAGCAAGGGGAACACTTAGGAGGCAACAGCCCCCAAAAATGAACTGTGCAAAGTGGGAGAAAAGCTACAGCACATTTCTGACAGCCACCAACATGACAGCAGTGCTATTTGCAGGAGGGGAGGGAAAGCCAAGCAGCCTCACCTTTTGGCCATCAGCTGGTGCTCTGAGAATGTATATTCCTCTGCTGTTGATGGCAGCTGCCAGTGACAGCGACGACAGCTCCACAGACCCATGGCTCTCTTTCACTATTTTCAACCACTCTAAATGGTGAGCTGAAGCACACTGTGGGAAGAGAAGACACAGCACTGCCCTAATTGCTCAGACCTGGCACTTCTTTCCAGGATTATATCTGTGTCCAGGACAAACAGCTTGGGCTGGCATAAGAGTTTCAGGATGGGGAAGGAAGAAAGGAATGACTGCTGGCCACAGCCTGATCTTTCTGCATAGCTGTTCTTTACCAACACCATGGGAGGCTGAACAAACAGAGGCCACAAGGCTTCGATGCCTCTTGCTGTAGAAACATGCCCTGCTGCAAAGAATAAGACAGAGTTCCCAGGCATCTGCCTTCCCTCTTCTGCATCATCATTCAAACCCTTGCAAGAGCAAAGCTACACCATGCCACACTTGAAAGCCTCAGCAGGCTCTGGAGAAATCCCTGCTATGCCAGTTACAATTGCTGCAGGGAATTTTTGTGCCATGGAAGCATAAGACATTTTTCTTCCAATAACAAGGCCTGCTGCGATGTCCCCACACAAGTGCATTTGCCCTGTGCAGTCAATCTTCCAGCCACTCTTGGAAGGCAGAAACGTGAGAGGATGCAGAGAGGACCTGCTCCAGCAGAACTCACCAGTTTCTTGGGAAGATTCTCATCACTGTCCAGGGCTCGCCACAGCTTATTCAAGCAGTGCATGAAGTCCTCAAAACCTGAGTCTTGCCGAAGCTCATAGAGCAGGGAAGAGTAGCCATGCACAGTGTCATGGAAACACGCCACACGGTCCACATCCATGTCATTCTCCCCAGCAGAGATGGAGGCCAGGTCTACAAATACTTTCAGCTCATTTATATCTTAAATGAGATAAACACATGAATGAACAACAAATGAGGCAGCTTTAATGCAATTCCACATCACCACCTTTTACAGAAAATGCAGAAAGAATGCTCTGGAATGGCATCTCCTGTGCAACTTCTTTCCACCCATCCTGCCGGCAATTTACTAGGTGATTCATCCACATTAATGACATCCTTGGCCCTGGCTTTTCTCCACATTGCCACGAACAGCAGATTCACAGCCAGGACGGAAGCAATGCAAAGGGTCGGGGGTGTCCGTGCATGTAAGACAACTGAGCTGGCAGACACACAACTCAGACCACTGCCATCTTGTTAAACGCATGGCCTCTGTTCTCTTAAATAACCGGTGTGAACCGAAGAATGGCAGCTATTACAAACCTTCCAACCGAGCCCAGCTATTGGGCAGGGTTTGTGTGCTGCACAAGACTACAGTGGCTCGGGCATGTCTAAAGGGACTACTTCGTAGCACGTTCCATACCAAAACCCGTATGAGATGCTTGTAACGATCAATACCAGAAGCTGTGAAGGCATAAAGATAGCAGATGGGTCAGGGACATGGCATTTCTTCTGCTCCCACACAAACTGGCATCCCTTCTAGTACTGTCTGCCCAATCCCTTGGTGAGCAACCACACACCTTTCAGCGCCTCCCTGACCCAGCAGACAAACTCCTTCTGCTGGGCCAGCGCCTTCAGACAGCCACGACGGTTCACTGTGATCCCCTGCAGCAGTCTCTTGGCATGCATAAGCTCAGGGCTGATGGAGTCCAGCTTTTGTGTCTTGTATGATTCAAGCTTTTCTGTCTACAAAGCAAGCAGTGCAAACAAATATTCAGTCTGGAGATGGGATATACAACCCGTTCTCCAGCAGGGAAATAAAAGCCCTCTGTGAAGTGACATCCCAAACAGAGGAATTCCATCTTCTCTCTTTTAAGAAAGATTACACAAAAGCCCTTTGTTTGAACACCTAATTTTTATCTCAAATAAGCATTTTGGGTCAAGGAATGGCTCTTGACAGGCTGGGATAGACTTGCAGGAAGGTTCGGATTTACCCAAGCCTTCTAGCAAACACCCTGACAGCACAGAGCTGAAGAAGTGAATACTTACTATGTCCAACAAGTTTTCCAGGATACTGAAGTCACCAGAGAGGCTTAGAATCTCTTTGACATTGGCAATGATCTTTGCAGCATCAAAAGTTAAATGCATTTCATGGTATTGCTGGATCTGCTGAAATCGCTGATCAACCCAGTCTCTGCCTTCCCCAGGCCTAAGCTTACATATGGCATTTAGTTCAGTTTTGAGATCTTCAGGATGATCTGTGAATTCCTGAAAAATTGTATCGACTGCAGAAAGTGTGAGATTTCCTGATCTGAGATCATCATACAGCCTTTCGTAGCTCTCAAAACAAGGGGAAATGAGACTGCTGAAAACATTATCAAGGTCCAATGCAAGAACAACTTTCTCCTCCTCCTCCTCGTCCTCCTCTTCTGAACTTTCACATTCCTCTCCCACCTTCTGCGCTGCTTCCTCCCAGAACTGCTGGAAGACCAGGCTATCCTTAAATGAGTGCATTTTCTGGGCAGATTCTTTCAGCTTTGGGCTCAAGCTGTAGTAGGTCTGTAGGGGTCTCTTTCCCACATTCACAACCGTATTTAGTCTTTTCATGCAAAGATCTTCCAAGTGTTGAAATTCCACTTCACCTACATTCACTTTAAAGCAGAGAGATAGATCAGAGTCAGAGGAGCTGTCTAGCCTGTGTCCAGCTTACTTCGTCTAATCCGCCAGTCGCAAAATGCTGTTGCGCATGTGGACCCTTACAAATATCATTCGATGCATAAGCACTCGTTTGATCCCTCAAATGCTCTAGGTTTACCTCCCCCCACCACACCCTTGCTGTGGTTTAGAATAAGACCCCTTTACAAAGCCTAGTCATTTCCAAAGAAAATTATGTTTTCTGGAGTTGCCACTTCCAGATTGCTTCCCCAAAACACTACCTTTCACAGATGCCTGTGCCTTCCTACACATGCTCAGAAAGGTTCCTATTGCTTTTTTCTCTTTTCTGACAAGTGTTACTTCTTCTTGCCTCCTCTGCAGCAATTCTTTCAGTTCTCTCTGGAGTAGTTCTTTGCCTTCTTGTGGTAACAGCTGCTGGTGCTCTGAAAGAAAATCCATCGGTAGTCAGGAGGCAGATGCTTCCCACCCCCTGCACCCATAACTCAGGTTTGGATCTGTGGAGTCACAAACACCACAGTGAAATGCAAACAACAAACTGGAGCTGGGAGCTCCATAGAAATACAAGGGCAGTGCTGCTAACTGCTGAAGCACCTAATTAGCATTACTAATCACCGAAGTAGGTTAACAGAGTAGGCCATCAATCACCACAATGACACCATAAGCCCACAATGCCACCTTTGACTGGTGTTCTTACTTATCTCCCAGATAGAGATGAACTGTTTCTCATGCTGGAGAATCTCCTCCAGATGTTTCACAAGGATACATCCCTCCTGGATGTCATCGGTGACGCTCATAAACACAGAGTCCGCCATGGCCATTATATTCTTTGCTTCATCTGTAAGTTTTTCTAGGAGCCTTGTGTTTTTTCCTGTTCCAGAAACAAGGCATGTAAAACCTAGATCAGTCACAAAAACTAGGCAGAATCAGTAACTCTTCAGTGTCATGATACAGAGTCCTTCCATTTCCTGTTCAAATCCCTACCCAAAGCCCGTGAACTCATCGCACCACCCTCCAACCCCTCCTGTTTTTCTGAACAGCCAGGGTCTCAGGAGACCTCTCCCATGGAGAGCCCATACCCAGAACCGGTGGAGGAAACACAAGCCATTTTGATCCATTCACATGACACTTTTGCATTTTGGGTAGCAGTAACTTGTTAGAACTTCCCAAAGAAAGAAGTTATGTTCT